TGCTAGTTTCTCACAAGTCTCTCACGGGAGTGAGTTGAATTGAGCCATTTGTAGTGCTTTAAATTTAACTGTTTCTTTCTTGTATTATATATTTAACTGTATATGATTTAACAGTTCATTCCTTGTTATATATCTAATTATCTTTATAAATAAATATATTAAATTATCAGCAATTTGGTTTTATCTCTCTAGAGAACCCTGTCTAACACACAGTGGAAGCCCCAAATCCAGGGTCCTCACATGGTAGTCTCTGATGAATCTCTACTGACCACAATGCAGGGATGTGAACAGCCTTGGTATCAGAGAGCATTGTGAAGTTGATCTGGCAGATGTAATTAGGTTAAAATACAACACTTTAGCATTTGAGCTCTTTTGACCCATTTTACAGTTGTTTTTAATATTTCCTGCTTTTGCTTTGAGGTTTTTCTATATTTTGTGTAGTCATTATCGGTTTTTTGCTGTTTGCTTTGTTAGTGTGTTGTATGATTTTCTGTATATGAAATCCAGGATAGGTAGATCTATACTGGTTAGGGGCATGGCAGAGGAAATTGGGGTGATAGGGAGCTAGCAACAAGATGAAAATGTTCTGGAATTGATTATGGTGGTGACTGTAAAAATCAATGATTGATTAAATTGTGATTGACATATATACCAATAAAACGATTTAAAAAATGGAGTTTCAAGAAACCCCAGGGGTAGTTCTCTCCTGTCCTGTAGAGTCTCTCTGAGTTGGAATCCACTCAACACCAGTTTCTGTTTTTATTTCGTGCAAATCAAAGTTTGGATCAACGTTCACCTCACCAGCAGCAATTTGAAACCATGTATTACCACGTAAACCCAAACTGCTTATAATTATCCAGTGTCAAGGTCATGGTTTAAAACTCATGCGTTGAGAGATACTTTTAATAGTATGTATTAATAGATGGCAAAGTGATATTAAAATTATACTTAAGAGTAAAAGTTGATTTGATGTTTATCTCTTCAAAGAGGTGTATATGAACACCTCAGCTTATATGCCATCCAGTAGTTGCATCCATTATTTTGTTGCTGCTGTTTTTTTAATGTCAGTTATTAATATGTGAAACTCATTTACATGTTTGTTATTTGGCTCTTTTGGTAGAATAAAAATTGAACAAGGGCAAGGATTTTAGCTTTTCATAAGAAACTCCAAGTAGCAGGGAAGTGTATGAATGCGAAAAAGGCAGGAAGAGGGCAAAGCCCAAAGCAGCTGGGGCTCCTGTGCTCTAGTCGTGGCGTGGTCAGGTAGCTCGGCCGGCCTTCTGCGGGGCTCGCATGTACACATGTAACCAAGGATGGCCCAGTCGTGTTCACGCTTCAAGAAACACACACACACACACACACACACACACACTGGAACTACAAGGAATCCAGTTTATTCAGATTATTCCTCAAGTCCCAAAACATCTCTCTCTCTCTTTCTCCCTCTGTCTCTCTCTCTCTCTCTCTCTCTCACACACACACACACACACACACACACACA